CGCCATGGCCGCTTCCTGCCCCCGCGGCAGTGGGAGCTGAAGCAGCGGCTGCTCCCGAGTCCCGCTGCCGGGGGTGAGAACAGCCACCGCCCGGCCCCGCGGGCCGCCCCCTCCTCTCCCTACCACCCAACTGAGTCCTGCCTGCAAGGGACCAGGCCGGACTGTAACTCACCCCGGCCCTGCGCTGCCCCTGAGTCTCCCGGGCCTCCATCCAGGCTTGCGGAGGAAGGTGTTTTTTTTTTTTGGCCCCGCCCCCCGCCCCGCTCCCCCTCCCCCGCGCGTCACCTCCCCCCTCCCCCCGCGTCCCGATATTTGTCTTGGGTGATCTGGTCACCCTACCCTCATTACAGGTTGGCAGGCCTTCAAGTAAGATAGACTTGCATGTAGAGTGTTTGTTTTTAAACTCCTTGTCCTTAAATGCTTTATTCCTAATGTGAAAATAAACAATACTTTGATGTTAAGAAGGCTGTCTGATCTCTCTATATCACTTGTCACAGACTCCAAAAGGAAAGAATCACAGGTGCCAAACCCAGCCAGGCTGCTGGGTAAGCATAGTTGAGCCACCAGGGTCTGGTCTAAGAATGGGAGAATCCTAGGATTCCAACCCAGGAGAGGTAAAGGCACAAGGTCTAAGACCAGAAGGGGTGTGCGCAGAGACACCACAAAGGGCACAGAGGTGCAGCTTAGCCCTGATATGGACCTCCTCAATTGCTATTGAAGAGTCTAAGTTACAGGAAATGATCAGGTCTCCTATATTCCTCCCAAAACTCCACACAGATTGAGCTCAGAACAGTGGGCAGGCCACTGTTTGGCCATCTGGTACCTTGGCATTCCAGGAAGCTCTCTGATTTCTATGTACGGAGGAAAGCATCTTCCCCTGACTTAAGAACACAGTCCTGGATTTTGTCATGGGAGGAATCCAGAGATCTGAAAGCCTGTGAGAAGTCCAGAAAAAAAACTTTCCCCTTCCACAGGGGGCATAATCAGAATCCTCAGACAAGCCACATTCTTACTCTGCCCAAAGGTGATGTGCTACTTTTTACTGCATGTCTGAGAGATGGTGCAAGACCTGTGTTCTCTCCCTTGCGCAGGCACAGCAGTTCCCTTTTTGGTGAAGACACTGGTACTCTCAATGTTGAGGGAGGTGTTTTTCCTCAAAGACCCTTCTGACAGGCAGTTCAAGAGATGATTGTGGGCTGCATCCATGGTCTTATGCTCTAAAATGCTAACCATTTGGCTGCAGGCTTTGGAGTCATTAGGGGATCACAAGTAGATGAAAAAGGCATTGGCTAGCCTCTGCTTGGATTCCAGCTTCTTGGTATGATTTCCTTGGATGTGACCATCCCTGCTACTGACTAATAAGCAGCAAGTCATATTAGGCAACAGAATACTGCTCTTCTCAACATGGAGGACTTGAAGAGATGGATTGAAGACCTCACAAAAAACCTCTTGCTTTTATTAAAAGGAGTATGAGAAGCCTCTGCTTGGTCATGTCACAATGACTTCTAACCAGAGGGGGAGGCCTACCTGAGATGTTGTTCAAATGCAGAGTTGAAGAGGCATGTGACTTTTCACTCCATATTCTTTATGAAAATATGCTTATATAAATATGACATAACTGAGATGTACTTTATGCAAGATGGGTCTTGTAAGATATCATTGGAAAGGTTATAATTTACTGAATATGATTATCCAGTTTGTATGCCTGTATCTGAAATTAGGAATATTGACTATATATCTGTGTTTCAACTATGCTACTTTGGGTGATGCCCACTGCTAACACTTCAGGTAGAACAATGGAAAAGTGAGACAGGGCTGATGACCCATCAGCAAGGATAATGGACTGTGAAAAGGGTTGGCCTTCCTGTGGACACTCCATACTGCCACTGACTCTTGGACGCTGTGATACTACATAGTCAGGTGATCTTGTCACCTGATACTAAATATTACCTGGGACTTCTTGTAACTTTCCACTGGAAGGGAAGGGAGGGATCAAGTTTGGGAAACAAAGGATTCCCACCTTATGTAAATCCTATTTAAGGAAGGGGAGGAAGGCAAACTGGATTCCTCCTCTCCATAGCCTGTCTGCCCAAGAAGAAAGTCTGCTAAAGCTGCCTGAAGGAAAGGCAAGCAGGGAGTCCAGACTGAGATGGGTCCAGTCTGAAAAGGAATATAACTGGAACTCTGAACCACAGAAACTTTGCGACCTGCCTAAAATAACATTTAGGGTGAGAATTTACATTTGGTAACCTGTTTCTTAAGTATATTGAGCTTAGCTTGCGTGTTTTGCTTTATTTGGTCAGTAATCTGCTTTGTTCGGTCTCTTCTCTCTTATATTCACTTAAAATTCACCTTTCTTAGTTAATAAACTTATTTCTTTTTTATAATATAACCTAGTATATGTAATTTCTAATTGGGCGTGGGGGTGGGCAAGAAGTTGTGCATATCTCTCTCCATGTTGAGAGAGGGGGTGAATTTCATAAAACCTCTGGGTTTGTACCCCTTAAAGGGAATGGGCATCAGAGTGTTGGGGTGAGCCCTTAAGGCTGAATCTTTCCAGAGCTGATCTCTGTCTCTCTGTGCAGCTGGGTGTGGCCCTGCCTGTGTGCTTGTCTGGAAGAAGCTTGTGAGCCTAACCCAGCAAGGCCAGGTAAAGGAGACCCAGCTTGGCAGAATAGGCTGACTCAGTGGCATCCCAGCACATCAGGTGACACCCCAAAGGGCCCAAACCTGTCACAAGGCACAGCAGAGTGGGGTTTATCTGGAAAGAAATGGGCCAAATCATTCTAATTACAGCAGCCAGTCATCCCCCTTCAATGGTGGAAGGACTCTGAATTTCTCTGGAGGGATTCTTCTGGATCTAGCAAGTACCTCAGCAGGGGATAGAATGCCCACAGGACCACACACCAAATAGCAGTGCCGTGTATGTGGTAGGGCATATTGGGATAGACTACCACTCAGATATTTGGGAGAGAGGTAGATAGACAAACCAGTCAGCTAGTACCCAGGAACAGTTAAAGATCTCTGTCCACGATGTCCTGAACTGATTAGAAGAAAGCAATTCTGAGACGTCGTTAGCCTCTGGCATGGCTGAAACACTGTTAGATGCCACAGTGGCTCAGTTTTAACTGTGTTTAGAGCCAGGCATAACATTAACTGGCCTTCACACTGGTTGTAACACAGACAAGGCCTTAAGCTAAAGGAGTTTAGACTCAATATTTTTTGCCATTAACTTTCAATTTGAACATTATTTATAACCTACAGAAAGCTGAGAACAGTAAATGCATCAACTCAAGAAAGAGAAATATCATTTCAGTTAACAAACATCTGGATTGTAAATGCTCTTATAGAACAGGAGTCACAGTTTACCCCAGCCTTATTTGTTTCTTTCTTTACCCTGTTTCTGGTGAAACTCTTGTTTCCATTCCTTTTTTGGAACGTTTCATCCTGTTCCCATTCTTAGTTC